TAGCCGTTCCCATAGATGAACAGTAATTGTTCTGCAGAAGTGAGTATTCAACGACGACGGCGACCCAGGAGGTGACGGTGTGACGCCGACGGTGACGGTGACGACGGCATGACGACGACAGTGACGCAGCCGACGACGACGGCGACAATGACCACGACAGCGACCACCACGGCGACCACGACCAGGACCACATCGGCGGCGGCGGTGGGCAGCGACGGCGATCGCGGTGGCTTTTGCGGCGGTGGCGGCGATGGCGACGACGATGAAGATAATCGAAGAACAAGGAGGGTTGAGGATGGAGGATCGATGTGTTGGGGGTAGTCTGGGCCCCGCTTCCGGGGGACTTCCGAGGGACCTCCGCAAGACGTGGCAAGAACAAGAAGTGTTCCCGAGGAGCGGAATGGGAGTTCAGGTCCGTTCTGAGCCGGGTTCGCTGTCGGTGTCGCCGCGGACGGTGCCTTTTTTGTTGACGCGGTCTGTAGGTTTCGGGCAGCGTCTGTGGTTCGGCATCGTTCCAGTCGGTCCCGTCCCCATTACATCGACCAGACGTAAGAGTGACCTTTCGCCAGAGTGACCTTTGGTGCGGGCCTCATGGGGTCCCCCGATCGCTGAGCGCGAAGCGGTATCATCGGCTTGCGCGCCTGGGTTTGCCCACCCCGCGTCCCCCAGTAAGCCGCGCACCAGAGGTCACTCTCGCCTGGGGTCACCCTTGCGTGTAACTGGTGTCAGGTGTGCGCAGGACAAACTTCGACTGATGGGCTTGTTTTCCACCACCACCACCACCGTAAATTGGAGGGGGGAACGAGGTGGAGGATTAGGAGGATGAGGAAGAAGAGGAGGAGGAGGAGGACCCCCTCCCCTACCTACTTATGGTGGTGGCAGTGGGAAACATGCCCACCATTGACAGTGTTGCCTTCTGCGCGTGTGGCAGCCTTCGTGCTGCTCCATGACAGTCGGCACTTCTGTGTAACTTTTTTGGGTGGACCGGCGGGGACAGACGTGGTCAGGGAGGGACGGCGCGAGCATCTTGACACCTTAACTTTCAGTCGGGCATGTGCCTCTACGGGACGAACATTTCAAATGAGTCCAAATATTGTCAGGGGACGATTTTGTTTGATTATTTCTCAATGTTTGCTCATGTCTTGATTATTTTATCATTTTATGATCTTGGGGGACACGCCCGACCTGTAGACGGGACATGCCCGATCTGATCTTAACTTTTTGGGGGGTCTCTCGGGGCGCTCCTGGCGCCAAGGCCTCGAACGCCTGGCCAGGCCGCACCCCAGAGGGATGAGGTTCGGGGGCGGAGTTTGCGGCCCGGGTGGCTGGAAAACGGTACAATTTTCGGCCTGTGGATGCCTTTTCCGAGCCCTTGGTGTCGCTCGGACGTGTGTACTTTTTCTCGGAGGGGATTATGAAGGAGCATCCTAGACCATCCTTCGAAAAAACCACGCACGAAACCAAAAAAGCACAGGGAATGGACGTCCGAGCAACGGGGAGGGGTGGCTGAAAAAGGTACAGATTTCGGCCTGCAGAGGCCGTTTCCGCCCCCCGGGCCGTCCAAGTGTTCCTCGTAGAAGAGCTGGACGCTGGGAAGGGGCCGAGAGCTCCATGGGCAGGCAGCCAGGCAGAAGCCGAGCCGTCGGAGGGCTGGGAGGTGACTTCGCCTCTCCCTGCCCATCGTCCATCCCCCGACGACCTTCACGTTAGAAGGGGCCCTCTGGGGAGCCGTCGTCGCCAACGGGGGATCCGTCTCGACATTTTGCTCGGAGGGCGCTCTGGGACGGGTCCTGGTGGGTCGACGTTTCTCGCATGCGAGCTTTCTCCCCCAACTCCGACCTGTGGACGAAAGATACAGCCGCTCAGAAAAGGAGGGGAACCCCGGGAGACACTCCGATGGGGGCTCGTCGGACGCACCCCCATCGAGGATGGACGCCCCCCTCCTCGCATATCCCGGGGTTGGGCCTCGACTTTCTGGTCCGCTCGGGAACCCAGAGAAGTTTGGGGTTGGGGTCGAGATATCCGCTGTTCGTTTCAGAGTCCTGCGCATCGAGCATCGGCGGCGAGCGAGGGGGGGGAGTGAGAAGGAGAAGGCCTTTCCAGAAGTCTCGGAAGCCCCCTGGCCTTCTGAGAAGTGTCCTAAGCCTTCCGCGGGGACAGCCTCAACCTTTCAGAGGGCGCGAGGGCTCCCGAGAAGTCCCACCACCTTCTGAGAAGGCCTTCCCCTTCTCACTTCCCCCCCCGCTCGCCGCCAAGAAACGTCACGGCGTCCGAGGCTGGGGCTTGCAAGCGTCCACTGCCCGAAGGAGCCGAGGTCGCCCAGGACCCCAGAAGGCTCTGGATACACGGACCTCTTCGCGTCCCCTTGGGGCCTCAGAGTGTCCGTATCCTCTACCTCCCGGGGACATGTCGATGACACGTCGGTCGTTGAAAGCAGGCCCAAGTCGGGCGTGTCCCTCTACAGGAGGAATACCCAAGAATAGTAAACACATAATCTGGTGACGATTGTTCGTGTTGTTTGGATGTTCTTATGTTCGTTTGATCTGTTTCGTGTTCTGCCAGAAGCCGCCTCTTGGAGGGCATGCACGACCTAAAAGTAGGTATGTTTGGACTCTCGGATCCCAATCTGCTGGCGTCTTCCTACTTGAATGACCGGGTGGCTTCACCTTTCCCTCCCTCTCCAGGGGGATGGGCGGAAGCCCAATCTCCTTCCCACGCCTTGCTGCTCTATGTGTCGACCAACTTCTTCCGACCGACGGGTACAAAGTAGGAGCAGCTTTTGCTTCAGGAACTCCCGCAGCTTCGCCTCTCCGCCTCGCCTCGCCCCCACGCACGCCGTGCCCGAAACGAGGTTATGTGTTTTTTTTGGGGGGGGCCCTCACGTTTTCACTTCTGCCTCGCCCCCCGACCTCCGACCTCGTATGTGTAGGCCACCCTGCGGGTGGCAAGGAGTGCTCGGGGGCGGACAGGCGCAGCTGTCTGCTTGCGATTGGCGTCCGATCGGCTTCGCGATCTATCCCTCGACCGCGCTGTCCGCCGATCTCACCACCTACCCGCTGATCCCAATGTCAGTTGACACCACTTCCTACCCGTTTGTCTCGCGACCTCTCTGTCGGCTTCTCTACCCGTCGCCCGACTTCACGATGTATATGTCTCACGGTGTACCCACCGATTCCGGTAGCAATATGCACACATTTACGTACACAGTTACATATCGGCTTTTACATTTCTGCCACTGATCTCACTATTTATCTGCATGGACCGGGTGGCCCTTCTTTCCACACAGCTCTTGTTGCGGGCCGATTTTGAATATCGCCTGATTTTACCATCTGAATGTGGATATGAATTCCGAAGTGCATTTAGAAGTACATTCCAACTTGACTTTCGATTGCAATTCGTTTTGATTGTGGTTCACATTTTGAGTTGCGTGTCGACGATCAATTCGGCGTCCATGTAGATTGCGCATTTTTTCGTCTTTCGATTTTCACTTCGCGTTTCATGTCGGTTGCCAGTCTGCTATATGTTCCATCGGCATTTCGACGTGCATGTGGATGTGCATGCCGAGCCCAGTTCGATGTGATGTTCGATGTGTTGTTCGAGTTGTTTTTTGATGTGCACGTTAATTCCAATTGGATTTGCATTTCGAATTCTATCCCTTTTTGCCATTGGATGTTCATTTCGATGTGCGTTTCCCCCGGGGCAGCTAACGCGACATTCCTGGGACAGCCCGTGGGATAACCAAGGGGAAAGCTCTCGGGACAACCCACGGAACAATCACGGGACAACAGGGACAACACACTGGACAACCACAGGGCCAAGCATTGCGAGGCATCGCGGGACAGGAGCGGGAATGTGTTGTGGGATTTGAAACTTTGCTAAGCTCCCAGAGAGCTATCCAGAAACATGAAATGCAAGCATGTAGCAAGGCAAGCATAGCAGGTATAAGAGACGGATCATCGATGATCACTGCCCAATCACCATCGGTCACCATTGCTCACCACATCCGTGGGACTCATCACCACACATTCACCAATCACGGGGCTGATGGTGGGCATCCGCTGCGGCGCATACGAGCCCTCCGAAATACGAGCGGTCAGTGATGTCGGCAGATTCGTGGGCAGCCATTGTTATCGGAGCCGTTCTCGATGTTGCCATTCGCGCATCCCGACTTGTCGATTCCATCTTGTGGAACTGCGCCAATACATTCAGCCCACCCATAATCATAATGATTATCACCACCGTCATCAACCGTCATCCACGTGCATCTATAGAGGTCGACTGTCATGCAGATAGGCCGTCGTATTGTTGGCAACGCAGTCCGCGTATAGATTGACAGGACAGCTACACGGCAGCCCGACGTGGCGCCAATCGCAAACCACAAGCTGCATCCGTCCCATCTCCTTCCAACCTCTTGATCAGCCGACGGTTGGTCTACGAGGTACTGTCGGACCGAGGTATACGATCGAGGTCGGTTCGCGGAGGGTATCCCAATATACTCATCGTTTTGTTGGGTGTTCTGGCGCATCCTGGTGCAGGGTGCCCTCGAATGTTCTTCAGCTTGGCCAGCGGAGGGTCTCACGGTCTGGAAGGGCGCTCTTCTGTCCCAGGTCCGGCCGTATGCTCAGGCTCCGGCCTCCCGTGGTTGGCGCACTCTTCCCTCCAGAGAGACAAGGTTGGGAGGACGAGTGTGGGACGATGTGGGGCACGACTATGCCATGTGCACATCCGACATACGCGATAATACTGATGATTCGGTCATCTTTCCCAACCCCATCTTCCCAACCCTAGAATTGTGATTCTGACCTATGCGCCGCCATGCCGCGATGCACCCAGCCCAGACATGCGACGCTCTGATTTTTTTCGGTGCGGGGTCCCTGGAGGTCTCGACGCTTTCCCAGGGACCGGTGTTTCGTCTTGCGTCGTTTTTTGCAGGTCCCGAGGCCGCAATTGGTTCAAAGTCACAAAACAACCTTTCTTAAACCTCGCGCCCCCGCGCGCAGGCGCGGCTCCACGCAGGGGGCGGAGGACGCCGAGGGCGCTCCGCCGGCGAGCGCCCCGGCCCCGCCCGCTCGCGCTGGGGGCCGGGTGGTCGGCCGGCATGGGCGATCGGCGGGCTGTCGGCGACTACAATCGGCGCAGTTTCGGGGGCGGAAAAGAGGGGGGTGATGACTAGGGGGGGTGGATATCATGGCGTGGGCCATGATGTTTCCCCAGATTTCATGGCGCATCTTCTTATTTCATTACGTCCCTGGCCCCCCCGCTGGGCCGCGCACATGCCGCCGGTCATGATTTGCACCCCCCCTCTTGGACACCCCCCTCTTGGCCGCTCCCGACAGTTATGCCAGGGTGCGGTTTGCGATTTGCTTTGTGGCGGCATTTCCGGGGCCTTTGCGAGAGACAATGTCATGATTGTCGTCGTTTCGAGGGACACGGTCATCCTCGATGTGTGCTCCACTGGACTAGAAGGAGCGGCAGTGTCATGTGATTCGGCTGCATTGAGTGACAGTGTCATCGTTTTCCCGGGGGCGGGAGGGGCAGATATGACGGAAGGCAAATCGCACCCTTCGCAAACCGCACCCATTGTAGTCGCCGAGGGCTGTCGGCGGCCATCGGTCGGCTGCGGCTGCAGGAGGAATATTTAAACAAATCAAAACGAATACGACTTTCGATTGCGATTAACGCAGGACGAAAGAGTTTCCTCTTGAGGTGCAAGTTTCGATGGTGAGTTGAAAATTAATGACCGAACCCCCTTCCCCCGTAGAATCTTAACACGGACGGGCTCCGGGCTCCGCGGATCCGATTTCCTCCGGCTTCCAGTTTTTTAATCTAAGAAGGTAAAGTTAAAACAGTGTAAAAGTCGGATCCGCCGTAAAAATAAAAGGCCGAACACGGATCCAGCCTCCGAAATCGGATCCGCGCGGACAGAAATCGGATCCACCGAAGCAACCGCTAAAGCCACATTTGGACCCGCGCGAACTTCACGGGATCCGACGGCGTTTATTTCATTCGCGTCTGCTCAAGATTTCAAGCCGTCGTTCCGGGCCCAAGACGAAAAAATTGTAGCCGGAGTGCAGTATCCCAAAACAGGGCTTTTAAACCCACTGCGGCTTCCAAGGTCGATTGCGTGCCCGTCCAGTGCGGGCCGGCATGGCATGTTAGAACCTGCCTCCTCCTCCTCCTCCTCCTCCACCTCCTCCTCCTCCTCCTCCTCCTCCTCCTCCTCCACCTCCTCTTCATCCCGAACGGCATCCCGGAGCCCAGAGTTGCGAGGATGTCTCCAGCGTAACGGGCTGGACCACCTCGCGCGCGGCATCTCGGACCCCAGAGTTGCGACGATGTCTCGGGCGAAACGTGCTGCGAGGAAGTCTCAGGCGAAACGGGCCGGACCACCTCGAGCGCGGCGTCCCAAGGAGTTCCGAGTTGCGGGGGCATCCTGGGGCCTCCTGGGGCCTCCTGGGGACCTCCTGGGCTTCCTCCTGGGCCTCCTGTGGCCTGTTGGACCCCACCTGGGGCTTCCTGAAGCCTCTTGGGACTCCCAGGGGGGGATATGTAACATGTGTCCGTCGGGGCAAGGCCACAAGAGCAGGAAAAATCAACGAATCGACACCGGATGCGTATGAACTTGACTCGTTCTGATAGGGGGCCTCCTGGGAGCCTCATGGGAATCTCCTAGGGATCCCTGGGGCCTGTCCTGGGCGTCCTGCGGCCTCCTGAAGCTCTCTGGGGCCTCCTGGGGCTCCCAGGGTCTCAGGGGGGATATGTAACATGTGGTCTTCTGGGCCCCCAGGCTGGACCACCTCTTGCGCGGCATCTGGGAGCTCAGAGTTGCGAGAATGTCTTGCGCGAAACGGGCCAGACCACCTTGCGCACGGCATCTCAGAGCTCAGAGTTGCGAGGATGTCTCAGGCGAGACGGGCTGGACCAAATCGCGCAGGGCATCTCAGCCCAGAGTTGCGAGGATGTCTCAGGCGAAATTGGCTGGACCACGTCGCGCGTGGCATCTCCGAGGTCAGAATTGCGAGGATGTCTCAGGCAAAATGGCTGGACCACCTCTTGCGCGGCAGCTCAGAGCTCAGAGTTTCGAGGATGTCTCTTGCGAAACGGGCCACACCACCTCGCGCGCGGCATCTCAGAGTACAGTTTTTTTGAGGACGTCTCAGACGAAACAGGCCGGACCACCTCTCGCGCGGCATCTCGGCATGCGAAAGTGCGAGGATGTCTCAAGTGAAACAGGCTGGACCACCTCTTGGGCGGCATCTCGGGGCTCAGAGTTTGGAGGATGTCTCAATCGAAAAGGGCCGGACCACCTCTCGCGCGGCGCAGAGTTGCGAGGACGTCGCAGGAGAAACGGGCCTGACCACCTCGCTCACGGCATATCAGCTCAGAGTTTGGAGGATGTCTCAGGCGAAACGGGCCGGACCACCTCTTGCGCGGCATCTCGGCATGCGAAAGTGCGAGGATGTCTCAGGCGAAACTGGCCGGACCACCTTTTGGGCGGCATCTCGGAGCCCAGAGTTTCGAGGACGTCTCAGGCGAAATAGGCTGGACCACCTCTTGCGCGGCATCTCAGAATTCAAAGTTGCGAGGATGTGGCGAAACGCGCCGGAACACCTCGCGCACGGCATCTCAGAGCTCAGAGTTTGGAGGATGTCTCAGGCGATACGGGCCGGACCACCTCGCGCGCGGCATTTGGGAGCTCACAGTTTGGAGGATGTCTCAGGCGAAACTGGCCGGACAACCTCTCGCGCGGCATTTGGGAGCTCAGAGTTTCGAGGATGTGTCAGGCGAAACGGGCCAGACCACCTCTTGCGCGGCATCTGAGAACTCAGAGTTTGGAGGATGTTTCACGCGAAACGCCCAATCCCGGACAACTTAGAAACGAGAGTTGCGAGGATGTCTCTGGCGAAACGGCCCGGACCACCAATTTTTTTTGAGGACGTCTCTGCTTTGAATTCCCTCGGCCGGAGTTAGCTTCTATCACAACAGCACCCCGTTCAGCAAGCTGTTTGGGGAATTTTCGTTTTGGGGATGTCAGAGTGATGGGGCTGAACGGTCATTCATTGTCCCTGGGTGCGTGGCTGAATAAGGAATTCGTGGTGAGAATTCTGCTTGTTGCGTTGTTGTTGTTGCTGTTGTTGTTGGTGGTGTTGTTGTTGGTGTTGTTGTTGCTGTTGCTGTTGTCGTTGTTGTTTGTTGTCGTCGTCCCACCCGCGACCCACCCGCGACCCACCCCGCGACCCACCCCGCGACCCACCCCGCGACCCACCCGCGACCGATCCCGCGACCCACCCGCGACCCACCCCGCGACCCACCCATGGGACCCACCCGCGACCCACCCTGAGACCCACCCGCGACACACCCTCCAGGGAGGGACTTCCACCCGGACCCGACAATTGACGTTTATTAAACGGCCCTGGGCGTTGATTAAACAGCCCTGCCCTGTTTGATTGATCCCTTGTGTGCGTTCACTAATCTTCGCTTGTCGGGGTGATTATTCTGGGGTGGATTTTTGGCCCTCTACACCCGCGACCCAACAGCGACCCATCCCCGACCCACCGGCGACCCACCAGCTGCGACCCATTTGCGACCCACCCGCGACCTACCCACATTGGTTTAACGAAAAAATCGGCGCCTGCGGCGGGCTCGTTGTAAGGTTTGTGAAACTTTGGCGCCTGCGGCGGGCTTCTCCAGAGTCTCGCAAACTGCCGACGTCCCCACCTCCCCGTCACTCTTATCCGCATCTGCGGGGTGCTACGTGTTGACGATTTTTGAGTATTCGGAAGGCCTGGCGGCCGGTGCCGCCGACCCTGAAGGGGGACGGCGACGACGGCGGCCGCGGCGGCAGCGGCGACGACGACGACGCTGACGCTCTGGAGCCTTTCTTGGGGCTCTCTTGGAAGCCCCTTGGGCTCTGTTGGGGCTTGAGATGGGGCCGCGGCTGAGGCCAGGGCCAGGGCTGGGGCCTGGGCCGAGGCCGAGGCTGGGGCCACGGCTGGGGCTGGGGTCCGGGGCTGGGGGCCAGGGCCGGGGCCGGGGCGCCGGGGCCGTGGCCCAGGCTGCGGCCCCGAAGGTTGGGCCGTGTCCGGGTGGGGGCCCTGGGCGGGAGCGGGGGCTGCGGCCGGGGCCGGAGCAGGGGCCGAGGGGCGGGGGGAAAACGCATTTGGGTGGCGCCCTTGGTTCTGATCGAGCGCCCGTGAAACGCGCTCTCTTGTAAATATGTGTAGATATGTCGATGTCTATGTATACACATAGGTCTCTCTCTCTCTCTCTCTCTACGTCTGCTTCATATGTGTATAGGTTTGCATGTCTGCAAACATGTATGTAACTATATGTACAAGTGCATATGTATATATGTATGTCTGTCTGTCTGCCTGCCTGCATGTATGTATGTATGTGTGCCTCTGAGTCTGTCTGTATGTGTGTATGTCTGTCTGTCTGTCTGTCTGTCTGTCTGTCTGTCTGTCTGTCTGTCTGCATGCATGCATGCATGCATGCATGCATGCATGTAATGTAATGTAATGTAATGTAATGTAATGTAATGTAATGTAATGTAATGTAATGTAATGTAATGTAATGTAATGTAATGTATGTATGTATATGTATGTATATATGTATGTATGTATGTATGTATGTATGTATGTATGTATGTATGCATGTATGTATGTATGTATGTATGTATGTATGTATGTGTGTGTTATTCATGTATCCGAGGCCACTGAGCTCGCTTCTGACCCTCCCTCGAGCCGGGCCTGATTCGGATTCTGCGCCCTCGGGACGAGTGGGCAGGTAGCGAGCCCGGCCCCTTTGGTCCCCGTGCTCTTAGCTGCTTCCGAATGCGCCTGCCCGAACATTGACCTGCGACCCCAGCACTCCCGACCCGGACGCTGACCTGCTCTTTTCCACTTCCCCGTGCTCCTCATTTCTGTGTTCGGTGCAGTCGCACCGCGGGCGTTGATAGTCGTCCGCTCTCCAGCGCCTGCACCCCAGCATCGCGCAAAAGTTTTTGGAGAATTTGGCCAGGATCCGCAAGTCGCTGGGCCCCAGTT